CACTATAATTGTGTTGCTGTCTATATCTTTCTTGAATTCCTCTAACATTTTCTTTATATATTTTGGTGCTCCTATGTTGGGTGCATATATATTTATGATGTTAATGTCTTCTTGGTGGATTCTTTTCTTGAGTATTATGAAGTGACCTTCTATGTCACTCTTTATGGCTCTTTTTTGAAGTCTATTTTGTGTAATATGAGAATTGCTACCCCAGGATTTTTTTCTTGTCCTTTTGCTTGGAAAATTTCTTTCCAGTGTTTCACTTTTAGTCTGTGATGGTCTTTTGTCCTGAGGTGGGTCTCTTTAGGCAGCATATGTGTGGGTCATACTTTTTTATCCATGCAGCTATTCTGTGTCTTTTGATTGGAACATTTAATCCATTTACATTTAAGGTTATTATTGATAGGTACTTATTCATTACCATTTTTTACCTGTGTTCCTCTCTGTCTGTCTCTTTTTCTTCTTTTCCTTAAAGCAGACCTTTTAGTATTTCTTGTAGAGCCGGCTTGGTGGCAGCAAATTCTTTTAGACTTTTTTTTGTCTTGAAAGCTCTTTATTTGGTCTTCTATCTTTATTGAGAGCCTTGCTGGGTGAAGTAGCCTTGGTTGTAGGACTCTGGTTCTCATTACTTGGAATATTTCTTGCCATTCTCTTGTTGCTTGGAGTGTTTCTATTGAGAAGTCAGTGGATAACCTTATTGGGACTCCCTTGTATGTTATTTGTTTTTTCTCCCTTGCTGCCTTTAATATTCTCTGTTTGTCTTGGAATTTTGCCATTTTGATGATGATGTGTCTTGAAATGAGCCTCCTTGGGTTCCTCTTGAATGGGGTTCTGTGTGATTCCTGGATTTGTGTGACTTTCTCTTTTATCAGATTAGGGAAATTTTCTCTCATTACTCTTTCAAATATGTTTTCTATCCCTTGTTCTTCTTCTTCTCCTTCTCGTATTCCTATTATTCGAATATTATTACATTTCATATTGTCTTGCATTTCTCTTAATCCTTCTTCATTCTTTCTGAGCCTCTTTTCCCTTTCCTGTTCTTTTTGTGAGATACTTTTTACTTTGTCCTCCAATTCACTAATCCGGTCTTCTGTTTTATCTATCCTATTTTTAATGCTTTCTACTGTGTTTTTTAATTCAGAAATTATATTCTTCATTTTATCTTGGTCCTTGCTAATAATTTCCATTTCCTTTTTCATGTTGATATAGTTCGCGGTGAGATCATTGTAGCTCCCCTGTAGTTTCTGGTAGCTGATTGTGAGCTCTTTGAACTTCCTGATAACTAGTGCTTTAAATCAGTATCTGATAGTCGACTTGCCTCTGTTTCATCTAACATTTTTACTGAGGGTTCCTCCTTTCTTTTCATTTGGGGATTGTTTCTTTGTCTTCCCATTGTTTGTGAGACTCTTCTTGTTTGCCTCAGCCTCTTAGATTAATCTATTTCGACACCCTGGGTTTATGGTGTGAACTTTTGTGGTGGAATGCCTGTTAATTTCAGTGGTGCAGTCTCTTTTGGTTATCCTGTCGTTTTCTGCTTCCACCTACTCAAATATGCAGCAACTTTTGGCTTCTCTCCTATAGCAATGTGCAATTTGTCTCTCTGACTCTACTATTGGGAGGCCTCTTCTGTGGGTCCAGCTCTTGTCTTTTCATATTTTCAAGTTTATTGTGACTCTTGTGGGTAAAAGAAAGAAATGACAAGGAAAGAAATAAATGGAAGAATAAAAAAATGGTAGGGTAATGGAAGAAAGAGCAAGAAGTGTAGAAAGAAAAGAAAAAGAAATAAAACAAAATCTGGTAAAAGAGGACGAAAAGATGAAACAGTAATAAAATTTAAAAGAAATAACAGATTACTTTAAAAAAGCAAAAAGATAAAGAAAAGGAATGGAGAAGGAAGAAAAGTAAAAAAAAAGAAAGAATAAAAATAAAATAAAGTAAAAAAAAAGCACAAACAAAAAACAAGAAACAAAAAAACAAAAAACGCACAAACAAAAATAATTTCCCAAAAACATCAGAAAAGGAAATGTCACTTGTTGGCTTCAAACTAGCAGAACCGGTTTTTCTGGTTGCAGTTGGCTGAGGGTTGATTGTTGTGATTTTTTCAGCCAGCCCCTCTCAGGATCCAGACATTGGCACTTCTCCCCAGCTGCCTACAATGGGGAACTAGGACTTCCTCACAGCGTTCCCCTCCCAGGGGTTACGCCATGGTCTGGTTTGCTGTGTTTGCGGGCACCTGCACCGGCCTTGCTGCATGGTTCCCTCGGGATTGAGCACAGACCTGCACCTTTACATCCTTTTCAACAAGTATGTAAACCTCGGTCACTGGGGTCTGGGTCCCCTGGATCTTTTCCTGTTTCCGGACTCCCTAAGTCCCCCCTGCCTGGGGGATGCACCTCTACTGCTCAGTTGCCAGAGCAGCGCCCACCTGGGCTGGAGGCAGGTGGGCAACCCTACGATTTTCAGATTCTGCCTATGTGTCTTTGGTGAGACCTTTGCTGACAATCCCACCTAAGGAAGCCCTCTAGAACCAAGTCAGTTCCTGTCATTTCAGCCTGTTTATTTCCTTCATAGTGCTTTTTAGTCTCAACAAGTGCTTTCCTGATTTGTTTACCCCTGGTGATTTAGAGGCGGTCCTTAACCATGTTGTCATCTTGTTCCAAGTCTGAAGAAATAAAGTCAGAAATAGACACAGAATATCAAGTAGAAATGAAAATCAGTTTTTAATGAGGCTTATTGGGGAACCATGGGTTGTGTCTTCGACATAATTTCTCTCCAGATTTCAGCCTTCGGCTCACTCCCACCCTCCAGCAGGACAAAATGTGTTCTGTAGGCTTTACTCCAAGGTAGCAGAAATGTATGGGACCAAAAACTGGAGCAGAAAAGTCACGTCCCCACTTCCTTTGTCCTGTTTCACAAATCACGTAAATTCCAGGACAGACAGGGGCAGGCGTTTACCAAGGTGTTTCCATCCCGGGCAGAGACGTTTTCCCCCAAACAGAGAGGCACAGATGACAGGTACACCTCTCTACTCCTTCACTGTCCCTCACCCCCTCGGGGTATGTCGACTTTACCCACTGCCCTCCCTCCACAGCTTAGAACAGAGGTTGGAACCCATAGCCCACTGGAGGAATACTGTCAAGGAATTATTGAAATGTAAATTTAAGCTGTTTAAAATTATTCACATATCAAATTTGCCTAGGTGTAACTGATAATACTTATTACTGACAACTGTGTGGGAAGGAGGTGGTGCCTCCACGTGGTCGGAGGGAGAAAGTGGTGCAGGTCTCCTGCATGGAGGCTGGCAGTGGGTACCAAATGCTCTGGAGCATCTGCATCTTTAGCATCTGCAGTTTTGCATTCATAGCACATCCTAAGGAAATAATGATGAGTGTAGACAACACTTCAACTTGAAAGAATGTTATTCTCAATGTTATTAAACATTAAAGAAATAAAAATTTCCATGAGGGAATTAAATGACTGAGATAATAGAACATTGTACTAATGGTTAATGACATCTGTACGATATTATTTAAATACATAAAAATTGTTCACTATTTTGAGTGAAAATGGTAGTTAAAAAGAGTCTGTATACGATAATCTCTATTTTAAAATATGAATCTAGGGGTCTAAATTTTTTCTTCAAGAAAGCATTGGAGTTCTTTTTCAATATTCTTCTGGTTGTGAAACTTTGGCCTTGAAATTTAAAAATGAAAGTAGTTCAGGCTATTTCTTGAAGACATATGAAAAAAATGTAGAGAGCAGCACGAGGTTGTGTGTGGTTCCTCAGTGTGATGATGCTGTCCAGCCCTTTCGTGACCCTTTCTCCCTCAGCCCTGGACAGACCCAGGGCCCTGCAGGAGGGGCTCCTTAGCAGGAACCAACCAGATGATGCTCCCTCTGAGCCCACCCCCTGTCAGTGCTCAGAATCCATCAGAGCAGCTGTCGGGGGTCAGCAGGGGATTCTATGGCAGTGTGAGTTGCCAACACTGGGAAGATATGGTGGCAGCAGAGGATCCTGGCATGCCAGAATGTGAGATAAGCTGTGACATCTGTCTTTATATTAAGTTATAAACCGGCAAAGAGAAACCACCCCCAAAAGTACAATTATAATACAGCTGTCCTCTCTAAATACATTTGCTGTTCATGTTAATCTGTTTTCCGCTTTTGCTTTCATCCTTGAATCAACTGCTGAGATGTCATCAGGTTGAACTGAACTTAAGACATGTGCCTGGGTTCACTTCATGTGGCCATACTACTTTTTCACTGGTATCTATGTTCCAGCATCCAGTGCAGATGAAGAAGTAGCTAAAACACTCAAAACAAAGCTACTGAAGGTGGAAAAAGGAACCAGAAGATGCTTCTAGGAAATATTAGGCAGCTGCTGAAAGGAGGGGCTTGCAAAGTTTGAAAGACATTACAAAACTGAGATGTTGTTTGAAGGGATTTCAAATTGGAAATAAGTGGGTAGGAAAGCAGGTGGGAAGGTGGGTGGATAAGTAAGCAACCCAGAAAGTAAAGAGGAACCCAGTCACTTCCTGTCTTGGACCAAGAAGGCATGCAAGCCTAGGAAATGACACTACCTACTGCTGGAGATGTTTGGTCAGGGCCATTGCTCTTCTTTCTCCATAAATAATCCAGACCCATGCCCTTGAAGAGAAGGCAGATCCCTTAGTTTTCCAAAATAAAATATGTCTACAGGTGTGTGCATCATATTAGGTAGAGTATATAAGGATGTATTTTCTTACATTTTATTATGTATATATAGATAGATGTATGTTCTATTATTCCTTTGATGCAAGGGGAGTTTTTCCCAAGGTATATGAATGCACCAAGTTAGCTTTGTACAGTATATCTAAAACCAAATATAGAGAATTCATTCAGAGTAGGACATTTCTAAATGCTTCCACGGTAGCATTTGGTGAGCACTGTGTATCCTGTTTGCCTTACAACTGTGACCCTCCTGTCCTGGTCGGGGGTGTGTCTGTCTCCACCCCAGGAGCATGGGGAGCAACCTCATGTGGATCAGGGAAGTCACCCTGCTTGGCTTCCAGATGGAGTCAGCACTGGAGTTTGTACTCTTTGGACTCTTGTGTCTGTTGTATGCCCTCACCCTTCTGGGGAATGGCATCATCCTGGGCCTTGTCTGCTCAGATTGTAGACTGCGCAGCCCCATGTCCTTCTTCCTCTCCCACCTGACCATCATTGACATCTATGCTTCCAACAATGTCCCCCAGATGCTGGCAAACTTAGTGACCCAGAATAGAGCCATCTCCTTTGTCCCATGCATCATGCAGACCTTTTTGTATTTGAATCTTGCTGCTACAGAATGCCTGATTTTGGTGGCCATGTCCTACTATAAGTATGTGGCCATCTGCCACCCCCTGCAGTACACTGTCATCATGAGCTGGAGAGTGTACATGGCCCTGGCCGTCTCGTCCTTGGTGTTTAGCTTCCTCCTGGCTCTGGTCCCTTTAGTTCTCATCCTGAGGCTGCCCATCTGTGGGCCTCTTGAAGTCAACCACTTGTTCTGTGAGATCCTCTCTGTCCTCAAGCTGGCCTGTGCTGACACTGGGCTCAACCAGCTTGTCATCTTTGCTGCCTGTGTCTTTGTCTTAGTCGGGCCCCTCTGCTTGGTGCTGGTCTCCTACACACACATCCTCTGGGCCATCCTGAAGATCCAGTCTGGGAAGGGCCGCAGGAAGGCCTTCTCCACCTGCTCCTCCCACCTCTGTGTGGTCGGGCTCTTCTTTGGCTGTGCCATTGTGGTTTATATGGTCCCTGACTCCAGTCAACAAGGGGAGAAGAATAAAATTCTATCCCTCTTTCATAGTCTCTTTAACCCCATGCTGAACCCCCTCATCTACAGCCTGAGGAATGCTCAGGTGAAGGAGGCCTTGGGTAGGGTGCTGCAGGTGAGGTCCAGGTGAAGGGAAAACTCAGAAAGTTCTCCCAAATAGAAGTTTGCTAGCTGTGTTTCACACAAGTGAAGTTGTCACAGCTGAAAAGAGCAGCTGTGATTTACAGTTCTGAAAACCCTTTAAGTGTTGGTTGAGCCCAGTACAGCAGAGTTGACATCTTCAGCATTTTCTCTGGGTCACCTCATCTAATGTCATGTTGCCTCAAGAAAGCCCCCCTGCGCACTCCCGAGAGAGTGAGGATGAAGAAGACAAAGTGTCTGAGTATTATTGTGAAAAGAGTTCATACCCAGTAGCACCTTAGAAAGGTTCTCAGAGATTCCCTGTGGTCCCTGGGCCACACTCAGAGGACTCATGACAGTATGTTCAGACTTCGAGCTCCACATCTGTAAAGTGAAAATGATGATCAGACTGAACTGTGTGGTCACTGTAAGGTATTTGGCACCTTTTCTGAAACATAAGAAGGACTCAGTAGTTGTTGCTCTTGGGTGTTCTAATCATTCCTCATTTGTACCTATGAGCCCTGAGTACAGACACATCCTGGCTTGGGGGGGCCCTGTTCTCTCTCAGGGTCACCCCAAAAGTTTCCACAGTATCCCACCCTCTACAACATCTAGAGAAGCAGACATTCATAATGCTAATCATTTCAAGAGCATGGCTGCCATCATTTGTGGTGTCTGCCTCAGGGTCAAAGCCCCTGAGATCCCTGCAAGTTCATGGAGAATCAGCACAGGGCTAACAGCTGCCCTGTCTGGTCCCCAGTGCTCTATCCCCAGGGACAGTCAGACTCGATCTTCACTCTCCTCCACAGAGGGAATTGAGAGTGTTTTTCTTTTCCTGTAGGGAGAAGATAACTAGGCAGAACATCTTATGATCCTTTTGGGAATCTGAACTCTCAGTAGAAACTCCAGAAGGTTTTTAGTTCCTCTGATTCTCAAATGGAAGCTATGCCCCTGGGCTTCTCTGAAGGACCCACAGCAATACCTGAGGCCCCTCCAGTGTCTGGGTCTCCACCTGCAGAAGCTGCAGAGGGCAGGGTGCTGCCCCTGTTCCCAGGTGCATCTCTCTCTTCCGTGGGGTTTATTCCATGTCAGTAGGTGCTCATGAGAAAATCCCACACAGAAGAGACTGATTTGTGCTGGGAAGTCAAATTCAGTGTGGGTAGTTGAGGCTGGACAGGAGAGCAGCCGACACCAGTGTGGCTGTGTGCAAGAGACTGGCATTGCTGGGTACTCTTTCCTCCTGACTACCAGGGGCACTGCAGGTCAGTGGAGTTGGTGACTAGATTTCTTCCTTCCCCACCTCAGGGACTGTCTGCCTCCTGTGCTATGGGCAGGGCCCTGACCATCCTCAGAGTATCTCACACTCCCCTCCCAATGTGCCTGCATAGTGGTGGTCAGAGCCAGCTCCCTGTCTCAGCCAGAGCTGTGTAGCCAGGCATTGATTGGCTGTGAGTAAGGCTCTGAGGATCCAGATTAGAGGTGGTCTGTGTTCCCTAGTCTGAATGAGGAAAGTGACATCCAGGGCAAGTTCTCTCCATGGGAGAGAATTTGCAGGAAGTGTGACAGTAATTCATGTCTTTCCTAAAAGCATTTAAAATGTCAGTTTACCATATAGTTACTTTTTTCTTGACCATCCCAGGTGATCAGCTCATGGTGATGGTTTTCAGGTTGGAAATTAAAGTGTGTGATGTAAATATCTCTCCTATCATTCAGTAGAACAGAATGAGTGGGAGATTCCTGGCCAGAGCTAGGGAAGTGGGACACAGCTCCAGAGCTGAAGTAACTTGGAGTCACAGGACCACCCAGGTGAAGAGCTGCTTGTGAAGACCCCACAAACCTTTGTATGTGCACCACTAGTGTTTTATTCTCACCGTGATGTTTTCTTTTTTAATATATTTTATTGATTATGCCATTACAGTTGTCCCATTTCCCCCTTCATTCTTCTCTACCCTGCACACCCCTCCCCCTATTCCCTGCCTTTAGTTCAAGTTCATGTGTCATAAGTTCTTACATTGTCTATTTACCATAGTATTCTTACCCTCCTCTTGTCTATTTTCTACCATCTATGCTGCTTATTCTCTGTACCTTCTCCCCCCTTCTCCTCCTCCCACTCCCTGTTGCTAACCCTCCATGTAATCTCCATTTCTATGGTTCTGTTCCTGATCTAGCTGTCCTCTTAGTTTTCTTTTGTTTTAGGTATGATTGTTAGTAACTGTGAGTTTGCTTTTCTTTCACTTTTAATATTTTTCATCTTCTCTTTCTTAGATAAGTTTGTTTAATATTTCATTTAATAAGAGCTTGGTGGTGATGAATTCTGTGAACTTAACCTTATCTGTGAACCAATTTATCTGCCCTTCCATTCTAAATGAAAGTTTTGCTGGATAGAGCAATCTGGATGTAGGTCTTGGGATTTCATGACTTGGAATACTTGTTTTCAGTCCCTTCTTGCCTGTAAGGTCTCTTTTGAGAAATTAGCTGACAGTCTGATAGGAACTTCTTTGTAGGTTACTGTCCCCTTATCTCTTGCTGCTTTTAGGATACTCTACTTCATTTTAGTCTTGGCTAATATACTTATGATGTGCCTTGGTGTGTTCCTTCTTGGGTCCAACTTCTTTGGGACTGTCTGAGCTTCCTGGACTCTCTGGAAGTCTATTTCCTTTGCCAGATTGGGTAAGTTCTCCTTTATTATTTGTCCAAATAAGTTTTCCACTTGTTGCTCTTTCTCTTCCCCTTCTGGTACCCCTATAATTCGGATGTTGAAATGTTTAAATATGTCCTGGAGTTTCCTAAGCATCTCCTCATTTTTTTGAATTCCTGTTTCTTCATATTTTTCTGTTTGGTCACTTTTTTCTTCCTTCTGGTCCACTCAATTGATTTTAGTCCTGGTTCCTTTCCCATCACTATTGGTTCCCTGTTCATTTTGCTTTATTTCACTTAGTGTAGCCTTCATTTTTTTAAAATCTAATTTGTGACTAAAATCAACCAGTTATGTGAGCACCCTGGTCACGAGTGCTTTGAATGTGCATCCGGTAAGTTGGCTATCTCTTGGTCACTTAAAAGTGTTGGCCCTGGGGCTTTGAGCTGTTCTCCTTGAGCCATATGTTGTGGTTTGGTCATGCCTGTTATGTGTGAGGTGAGGAACCTTAGGTGTTCACCAGGGTGGGGCAACTTCCTCGCTGGGTTGTGATGCTGTATGTGGGTCAATCTCAGAGAGGGGCAATGGCGTTTTTCTGCTCTCTCTTGTATTTTGGTCCCGTCTGCCACTTCCCACAAGAAAATTGGGCCCTTCCGGTGCTGGTTTCCAGATGTGTGGGCTTGTGCACTCTCCAGGACCCCGTGGGTCTCTCCAGTGTACTCTCTGTGAGCCTGGGAGCCTCTCCTGGCACCTCGACCCCCGAAAGTTTTTCCAATTGGTGCTTTTAGATTTTAATTCTCATCCCTATGGTCCTGGGCTGTGTGGTCTGTCTACTGTTCACTCCTTTGCCTGGTTAATCTGCATGTGAAAGTGTGACCACAGTCAGCCAGCCGCCTTGCCCCTTCACTGTGTCTGCCCGTCCCAGTCCCCCTCCTCCCACCGGCACCTGGGATCTTCCAACTGTCGCCTGCACGCCTGGGTCCCTCTGGCCACTTTTTCCTGCTACAACCCCTCACCGCCAGCTGCCACATCTGCCTGTCTTACCAGTCTAGATAAATGGTTTGTTGTTGTCGGACTTCAGTACAGTTAAATTTTCTCTCTATTTTGGTTGTGTTCTGGTTTCTAAATCTTTATTGTTCATAAACTTGGTCGTAGGAGAAGTTACAATATTTCCACCTACGCCTCCACCTTGGCTGGAAGCCCTCACCATATTTTCTTTTCTGTTCCACTGTGTGTCTGCTTCAAGATTGAATCTGTCTTCTATTTTATCTTCCTGTTGGTTATTTTTAATAGCAAAATGATAACTGTAGTAATGAAAATAAAAATAAAATGATCACTATATCTAAATTAAAATAATCCATTTATTAAGACACAAAACTAAAAAGTTAGTAAACAAATGTTCCTACTGATTAAAAATACATTGAGTTACATTCAACAAAGTCATTATTCTTCATGTTCAGGGATGAAATATGTTTCCAACATTACTTACTGTGAACAACTGTGTTTGAATAGAATTTGGCAATACTGATGTGGCTTCTCTCATTTTCCATAACACAGATGGAGTAAGTTACCACGTTTTGCAATAATCATTACTAGTAATTGCATCAGGCAGGATAATCAGCTGGCAGTGAAATTAGTGGCTGAGAAGCTCTATGAGGAACAGAATATTATATAGTAACTTTAATGGCTGCTCCAGAAATTGCATTAGAGAAAAAGATAAAGATTTTACAATGCAGTTACTCGGGAGGCACCATGTTCTCCAGGTGATCCCCGTGAGCCTCACCAGTGATGGAACAGTGAACCTCATGCACCTGCCCATGAAGCACAATGGAAGATACTTAATTTCCCTGCAGAAAGTGAATCTGAATAAAACAGTGAGAAACTGCATGCAGTACCATCTGGAGAATATTGTAGTGAGAAAATTCTCTATGATCTACCAAATAAAGTGGTCATGAAGGGCAGACAGGGTAGCTATTTCAGATGAAGGAAACTGAAGATGAATGACATTAAAATCTCACATGTCATTTTGAATTTGCTCCAGTGTGAGGGAAGTAGAGAGAGATATTGTACATTAATAAATTATGTCAATATCAAATTGCCCCATTTTGATAACTGTGGTAGATTACTGAATGTCTTCATTCTTGGTAGAAGAAAAAAGAGGAATTTAATGGTAAATGGGTATGATGTCTATTCATACTTTAATCTCAAGTGCTCTAGAATAAAGCAATACTCATATATAACAATATAGAGAAAAAGAATAAAATAAATATTAAAATTAGTTAGATCTGAACATATTGTTATATTAGAGTTCTTTTAATAATTCTTGACTGTTTTCTATAAGTTTAAATTTATTTTATAGGAAAGTTAAAAACAGG